ATAAAATAAAGAAAAATAAAAAAAAAAAAAAAAAACAAACCCCCAAAAAAAAAAAAAAAAAAAAAAAAAAAAAAAAATATATATATATATATATATATATATATATATATATATATATATATATATGTGTGTGTGTGTGTGTGTGTGTGTGTGTGTGTGTGTTTTACAATCACCTTGTCACTTCAAGTATACATGTATGTCATTTCAATACAAGTATTTTTCCACAAAATATCTCAATTTTCCTGTCATTTGACCTCGAAAGAAAATAATAATAATAATAATAATAATAATAATAATAATAATAATAATAATAACTTTCTTAGATAAAAATTTTACTTCTGTGTCACACGTTGTTCTAATTTGGTTAAATGACCTTCACTCTATACGAAAGTTCAAACGTATTGATAATTTTACTGGGACGATTTGAGTTGCAACTCATGACATTCCCCCCTTAATTAGATAAAAAAGTGGATGTCAAAGGTAACAGAATAAGTGAACTGAACAACCATAACCGCTTTCAGTACACATGTATTATCTACCCCATCCCATAAAACTGAAAACTTCACAAACATATTTCTGTGTATAGAAATTGAATCAATTTTGTCTTTCTTAATGATTGTGGCAGTGGGATTTTACAGAAACGTAACGCACATAATAGATCACTGCAGCCTTTTTATCACTCGTAACTTGTCATTATGAATCCATTTGTGGTTTTGAACGTGTCACGTGGTACGGCTGTACGTCCGTTTTAAAACTAAAAATAAAAGCAAGTGGGTAGATTTTAATATATTTTGGTGTTAATTTGTTTATCGTAACACACACAAGATACTTGGACTGTGAAGAAAGTCGTGATACAAACCAATTTTTTTACATTTTTTTCGTCTTGGAGGTTTTTGCTATGCGTTAGGCATAGGCCTAACACCAACGCTCTACACGTACATTGTAATGTACGAGAAGGCATTTTATTACCTTTGTAATCAATTTTGCTGAACAAAATTTGAATTGCAACAGCACGTGTGTGGTACCCTCTACCAGGGCCACAGATTGATTTTTCACAAGATATTCACAGATATGTCTTTAGATAAATTAACGGTGATTTGGTTCTCTGTGTACTTGTAGCTTATATTGTCTCTGTCCACTCAGCATTTAGGGGTTAAAGCATATTCTTCGTTTGCGAGATATTTAGTGAAACTATACTTGTATTAAAATAACATATACTTGAATTGACAAGGTGATTTTAAAACACATAACGTACGTAAAATACTTTTTTTGTGGCAGGTTGTCAATCTCACTTCTTTTGGTAACAGATTGCGAAGGTCCCAAAAGTAACGAGAGGGAAAAGTTACTTTTCTTTATATTAAATTGTTAATCTTACTTTTCTGGTATTACACTGTCAATCCTTTAAAAACAGCAAGCTAGAAAAGTCTACCTTAATAATATTCAGTGAAAAAATAAGATACCACGAACTTTAAATGAGACACCATAGGAATACAAGACAACGTTTTTATCATTATTTAGCCAGATAAATACCATAAATTCAAATTCACCACCCCCTTGCGAACTTTTTGCACCTGTCATCACCTTGACAGTTTCAAAGACATGCCCAAATTTGAGACACCTTAGGTTGATGTTATTTTAACTGTGTGCTGACGCACCTTCATAATGGACTTGAAGTTAGTCCAATCAGATTACGTTTTCCTATCTCATATCATTATCTACTATGTAATTATACCGTATTAGTTGGTATAAATACAAATTCTGTCTAAGATTCTCTCAAATAAGCCAAATCGGGTTTAAGTTTGCAGCAACAAAGGAAGAGATCTCCAGAGAAAAGATGAAGACGTTTTTAATTGTTGCCTTGTGTCTGAGCTTGCTGTTTGTGGGTAAGTTTTTCGTATTTTTATGAGTAAATCGACAAATCGCTTTAATATGAAAATGGAAATTTTGTTTTTTTAAAAACTGATCTCTTTTCACGTACCAGTAAGGCATCGACCTTTAAAGGATACATGTAAAAACTGATCATTTTGTCAGGAAACGTGGCATAAATCTGATTTTCCTCAGCTAAACGACAATTTTCCTATGCTTACCAATAAAATGAATCCATTCCGTCGGTCAAGGGTTTTTGTAATAATCTCTTAAAATACCAGAATGTAACGCCATTCCGTCATTCATAGCTTTTTAAGTTTGGTTTTTGTTATTATCTCTTAAAATGCCAGAATGTAACACGCATAACATAGGTGGCGCATGCTCGTCATCTTTTTGTGGAACGGTCCATTGGCATTACCAGGCCCGTCTGGATATGGGAATGTGGCTGCCTGCTAGACGTCATGTAGTCACCAATAATAATAATAATAATAATAATAATAATAATAATAAGTAAACCCATTTCATTTTTGTAGATTTAATTCCGTAGTTGTAGGCCTAATATAGTTTATAACCTACTAAGAGTGCGTGCTCCACCGGGAGTATTTTTGACGTTTGCACTTACTTATCAAGTTAGGGAAGCGGAACATATAATTTTTGTATTGACCTACAGGTGGTGACAGGTACATCTATATGAAGGACCCGCCAAACAATTTGTCCTAATTCCAAAATTTGTTCTAATTAAAAAAAATGTGTTATAAAACAGTGCAAAACAGATTAATTGTGCATTTATATATATACAGTATGGTGCCCTAACACGTGTCTTTGCAATTCAAAATTGGTCAGCAAAAGTGAAAGGTGATAATGATGAGCTGGCGAAATCATACATTATTCATTATAATATTTGTTATAAGCCAAGGCCAGGAGAGTGCCTATTCTTCATTTTTGTTTACACACAAACACACATACACACATATATTCGTACTATCTTTATTTTGTCGTATGTATACGTTATCAGAATACCCTTCCATATTTAACATTGACTTACTTTTCAATTCAATTCAAAATCATTTCTATTCACTAATGTATCTTTTTCATTTTCAGTTGGCAACGCAAAGCCACCTTTCTGTGGCAAAAACGCGGTATGCGTGAGGTTTGAACCGAACTTGCAGGTTCGATATGACGGCGCCTGTAAACTACCGGATTGGGAATGTCTGTGCCTGCCAAACTACTATGGTGACCCGTACGATGAATGTTATACGGAGACTCCGTATAAATAGGTAGGTAGGTAGAGAGTCAACTCACACTGCATGAAAATCAAAACTAGTTTCTGACACGTGTCCTACCTTAATCTGCACAACTGAAATATCCTCATATTGCTCTCTCTCGCCCTCATTCTCTCTCGCCCCCTCAACTCACACTACATGAAAATCAAAACTATTATCTAGCACTCGTCCCAGTTAAGTCTTAACTGCACAACTGAAATATTTTATAATATTGGTCTCTCTCTCTCTCTCTCTCTCTCTCTCTCTCTCTCGCTGCCTCATTTATTTCTCTGCACGTGTTTTTATTTTCATGTTTCTAAAGTATTTAAATACAAAATATTCTAAAATCTAAAACGGTGTTATGTCCCACATGAGAAACAATTATAATAGTTGTTCGTTCCACGACTTTCTTCACAGCTGAAATATATTCTAAGATAATTGAACTATAATTAAGTCAATATAATATACGTATAATTAAATTTTATCATTTCTTTTCGTTTTTCAGGATAAAAGAGGGACTGAAAGCCGTTTTAATATGACACGACCTTAACCACAAATACTATAGCTTCATTAGGACAGATGGCGGAATATAAAAAAACATGGTGATCTATTATTGTCTTAAAGTTTCTGTAAAATCCCACTGCAATAGCCATTAAGAACATTGTGTTGTGCGAATTATTAATTCACATCCTAAACTATAATTCGTTCGTCATATGTGCGAATTTTGTCCTTACAGGAGACTGGAAGAAGTAAAATAAATAATAAAATGTTCGTCGAAAACGGATATGGGTGTTTACTTTATTTATTCTATTCCTTATTTTTTTTTAATAAAAAGATTTCATTTTGTTGTTCACACGGTTATATCACAAGAGATGTTGTTGTACCACAGGGGCATTTGGCTATTAATAATTATGTAAAAAAATGAGAAAAAATATACATAAAATGAAAGAGAAAAAGAAAAAATAAATAAGCATAAATATTTCTAAGTATGCAAAACATTACTGGTCTTTGACATGAATAGAACCCAGCTATTGAGACTTAAGAAGCTTTATGTTCAGTTTTCAGTAAAAGGATTGTTGGGTAATATAGATACACTAAATTTATGAACCATTTTTAACAATAATAATAATTATTATAATATTTATTTTTACAACAAAAAGATGGATGTAACAGTTTATTCTTAAGTTATTAAATTTCAACAGGACGTTCAAATAATATTATATTAGAAGGGCTAACCACTGTCCATTTTGGTCAAAAAGTGGGTTTTCCTGGGGTAAACAACACTTTTCTCATACTAAGCAACAGTAATGAATCCGCTCTGACATTCAAACTAAGTCCCTGTTTTTCTAAAAAGTTTTCTTTTTTTTTTAATAATCTCTTAAAGAATTTATTATGTTAATAGAAGCTGTTTACAATATAACTATCGTGAAATATGGATCTCATAATTTTTTTTCGTGTACAAACTCTTTAAACTTTAAAGATATGTATACAATGAAGTCTTCCGTCTACCAGTAATTGATTTTCACAAGGTATTCAAAGATATGTTTCTGGCAAATTCTGTGCATTTTTCTTAATTGTGTCCACATTTTTATTTGTATGGAGATAAGGTCTTCAAACAGCCGGTATATAATAATAATAATAATAATAATAATAATCAATTGTCGTTTTAATAAGTTATTCTTATATGGCAAGTTCCATTAAAATTTAAAATTAGGGAATTGTGAGAACAAATTTGAGTCTTGTTGTTGCTAATCATTTGTGTAGTACCAATGAAAATACTCTTTTGTCATAAACTAATTTCAATTTTTTTCTCTCATGAAAAAATACATCGATGTACCTACGGGCATCTTCATCGGCCTCCGAGTGACACACAGCATTTTTATTGGTATTATATGCTTAATTATAACAGATGGAACCTTTTAAACATCGTTTGTGTAGTTAATCGCTATTGCATTTCTTTATGAAAGTTCACATTTGGCAGTCACTCCCTGCGCAGAGGGTGGAGTTGATAGCTGTATGGCATTTTCAGTTGGAAACTACAAATATACCTCATTCCATACATAGGAAAGATCTGTAACGTGGCAGAGAGTCACCCATGATAGAGAATCCGCTTCATTGGTACAGGTAAGCCTCGCCCTTGATTTTGACCCGCTTAGGTCAAGCTTATCCTAGCCATAAAAACTGGACTTCCGTTCCCAGAATTACCATTCCTGTGATACCGGTGTAATTAAACTGAGGGTCCGTGTAACAGAAAGCCCGCCCTCCATATAGTTATAATGGTTAGGGTTAGTCTGACCTAAATGGGTCAAAATCTAGGGCGAGGCTCACCTGTACAAATGAATGGGAAGCGGACTCTCTGTTATGGGGGCCTCTCTGTCACGTTATACCAGCACGAAGGAAAACAACCAGACAGCCAGACGGAAAGGATTGCGAGATTACATCAGTTCTGACACTTAGCAACAATATACAGTGAAGAGATGCTCTCATGTTTTAGTTACATTCCATCTGCCCAACCATATCTTGTTATGGACATTTCAAGGTCGTGCAGTAGTAATTATGAAAACAAGTGACAGATGATTACATTTTAATTAATGAAATGGTCAATTTAGGGTGTTCTGCCTTTGATTTTGGGTGAAGGGTAATTCCACATATATAGTTAAAATGGCCATAAGAGAGTGATTTTTGTGCTTGGTTTCCCATATCATTGTTAAGCATGCATGACAGGCTTGTTAAATCAAATGTATTATTTGGTTGACATAAACAACTTGTGTTTGTCATTAGATCAGTTGTTTTTAACACTTCAAAATTTTAGTTGGAGTCATGTTAAAATATAGTCTTGGTGTCTGCTGGTAAAAAAAAGTTACCCCTTTCCCCCAAAGTGATAATTACAATCACCTGGTTTGAATGATAATATGCTTTATTACACGTATTTGAGTTTCAATTTAAAACAATTATCAATACCTTTTCTCGTTGAATCGATTAAATACATAGGTCAATGTCATCAAAGATAGACTTGTTGAGCAGAAAACCACATCCGATATCATTTAAATATAATGAGTTTTAACACATATTTAATAGGCCCAAAATTTACCCAACCAGATCCCGTTCCGCCTTTCGTATATAAGGCCAATTGACCTTAATATTATTGTTCCGTTGTCACTGGTATAAATTCAACCCCTCCCTAAGATTTCTTAACAAGCCGGTACGTATTTACAGGTGACGAAAT